TGTTTCCAAAATCGTTTCAGTGGTTCATCAAGTCGTAACAGGGTGAAAGGCACTTATGCCTCCGCTTTGCGGTCCTATATCTGCTATACCCACGCTATTGGCGCTTTTCCATTACCAGTACCAGCTCGACTCGACTCGCCTTGGCTCGCCTCGACTCGGCTCGCTTTTCGCTCCGTTTTCCATTGCAGAAAGTACCGCCACAAATAGTACCCGGTCGTCATAGCGACGCATTTCGTTCCTCGTTGCCCCATCAAGCTCTCGCTGGATCCTCTCTTCGGCAACCAAACAAAGGAATGTCTGCACCTCCTCGTTTGACCACGGCGTATTCTTCCAAGTTGCCATAATAATAGTAGTAAGTTTAATAACTATCTCTGGCCAAACTATTTAAAAATGGCGGGGTTATTCTGGATACTCCATCTGGCACGTGCAATGATGACGCAGATTCTCTGTGACCAATCAGCAGTCGGCATTGTTTTCACGTCACATTTTAGTATCGGCTTAGCTCGCCTCAGCTCGCTTAGAACCTCGCCGGAGGTGGTACGAAAAAAAGTACCCGAAAGCAGGTACAGGTACAACTTTTACACAGTGGAAAACCAAACAAAGGCGAGTCGAGTCGAGCTGAGCCGAGGCGAGCTGGTATTGTGTAGTGGAAAATCGCCATATGTAAGATTGCCAGAACGGGTCGAGTTTCTGTAGTTCTAATGAGACATAAGAAAACTACAAATTTGACTTGCTTTACGTCAAGCGGTACAATAGTCATTATTTTGTTTTTCTTCGTTTCTGATGTCGCAATACATCATACTTTCATGAAATCATGCAACATACTCTACCTTGTCTGTGGACATCGTTCATTCCAAAGCCGGTGCTGGATAAACAACGAGCATTCGTGCGACAGTAGGCTGCGGTAGGCTAAATTATTTACGACAGCGGTAATGGACAATTCCACTTCCAACCTGTAGGGCGACCGCAGAGGAACAGTTACTTGGTGTTGCTTTAACTCCAGATGTCACAAAACAGCAAGTTATTAAACCTAACAACAAAAGCAATGCTAAATACAGCTGGAAAACTGTGGAAAAAAATAACCTTAAAAATTATTCATGCCCCAGTGCATGATTAATACACCAGAATCATCAGAAAGTTGAGTAGGTTTTACTTAATTTTATATTATTGCTTTAATTTCTACAAGCTTAAATTGAGAACTAATATAGACTTTGCTTCGCACACATTTGGCAATGTGTTGGTCCCTAAGTGACTGCCAACTCCAGTCTCAACTCGGCCCCGCCTCTAACACATGCAATACATTCCTATTATTTCTGAATGGCTCTCTCTAGAGTGGAGTTGTCCTGATCTCCTTGGAGGAGGTGATCATGTTTAGCAGAAGCGCTGTGCCCTGTTCTGTCTAGCTAATTCCTTGCAGTGAATATTTTTCCCTTGCTATGCTTTGCTCTGCTGATTTGAGCTGCAAATAAGGTAGATATAACATTGCAAATCTGCAGTTGTTGATTGTGTTTTTGTGTGTAGAAGCTTGTTGTTGTCTTTGTGCTTGTTCGGAGGTTTTGATTTTTGTTTCTGTATTTTCATTGCACAATTTGAGCCTTCTAAAATGTCCTGTCTATCAGCACTTAAACAAATACTGTACAGCTGTGTCTAAGAAGTTGCTGGAATTTTTTTTTTTTAATGTATGTGAACAAATGTGTGAGATTTAAACTTTTCTTTAATATAATATCATTAGAAATGAATAAATATACACTGGGGGTTGAAAGTTTGGAATAATTAAGATTTTTTTTTTGGGTGAAAAAAGTCTCATCAAGCTGTGCTCACCAAAGCTGCATTTATTTAATAAAAAATACGGTAAAAGCAGTAATATTGTGGATTATAGTTAGTTTATAGTTATAGTTTAAAAAGCTTAATTAGCTAATTTAAAATTTAAAACGCTTAATTAGCTTATTTAATTAGCTTTCTAAAAAGCTAATTAAATGATAAGAGGAATGTACTATTGTTCAAAAGTTTGGTGTAAAAAATTTTTTGTGAAAGAAATTAATACTTTTATTTAGCAAGGATGCATAAAATTGATCAAAACTGACAGTAAAGTCATTTGTCACAAAAAATAAATTTCTGTCCAATAAATGCTGTTCTTTTGAACTTTCTATTCCTCAAAGAATCCTGAAAGAAATCATCACAGTTTCCACAAAATATTAAGCATTACAATTCTTTTAAAACTTTGGAACGGTAGTGTATGTGTTACGGACTAGTCAACTAACTAATTAGTGAGGTCGACTATTTGTTAGTCTCAGCCTCAGACGTCACACCCACGGAACGTTGGCTAAACGTCTGATGCATATGGTACACTTAACTGGAAACACTTCAGGAATGTCAAAGTCGTCATCTGATTGGTTTAATTTTATCAGATTTCCGGGGGGGGGGGCGCGAGTGTCGCGTTTATTTTCGGTCCGCCGGGAAACAAAGCGCAGACGTGTGATTGCGGAAGAAAAACTGTTGTGTTTACATGAGTGACAATGAGCATTTATCAAGATCAGCTGAACGTAGGATTCTCAAAAGTGTGCGAGGTTCACGGCATAGACTCTTGAAGTTTTCTTCTCCTTCTTTGATTTTCTATGCTGACTGACTTGTTGCACGCCGGTCTGTTGTTGTGGGGACATTTCCACGCCCCGAAACGAACTGTAATTGGTTGTTTTACATGTCGGTCAAACGGCCTTATGGGCGGGCCTTGGCCAAAGAAAGCTGCTATGAATTCCAGACCTTCAGCCGTCAGTCTGAAGGTCTGGCTACGCGAGAGAGACTAACTATTTGTAGATTGCTTTCTACTAGTTATATATATTTTAGTTAAGCATAACAGACAGCAGTGTGAGTTATGTTTTACCTGTTGACTTTAAAATAATCCCCTTTAACACATAATCATATCTACAGAAATAATGTAATTATTTATTTATGAGAATTAGTCAACTAGTGACTAGTTATTATCAACTAGTTTTCACACTACATATTACCCTAATTTAAGAAATGCACCTAAACGGTTACAGAACAAGAGAAACTGTGAAGCTTTCAAGAGATTTTCATATGAAAGGATCTATCAAGCTGGCATACAGTAAGAGAAAGTGAAAAACAAAAGACTCATGAGGTTTCACAGAGACTGGCACCTCATTACGGGCCAGATTTCTTCAGTATAACACCTATACAGTATGTGTAACACCTGTGGTTGAAGTTGAATCATGTGATTCATTATAGAAGGAAAAAAATAATACGGATATTTTTTATGCCTCCACTACGGCTGTATTAACAGTAGGGTAGGCAGTGTTTTTCATAAACACTTTTTGTTATACTGGTTGAAACTCAACTCAATTATTATCAATCAATGATAGAAGTGGTCTAAATATTAAAAAATCTACATATATCTTCTGTGGAAGTCTCAGGACTAAAACATGTTCGTCCAATCATTGCATTCATCACGAATGCAATAATATGATGCTCCACCCACCTGTCAACGTGTGTTTTTCCATGTCATCACATCAGCGCGTTCTGTAAGGCTATGCAGAGTCGTAGACAGACGTCAGTCACCGAGCACCGCAAGCAAACAGCAGGAGGGTGGGATCTTATGTTTTCAAAGCTAGCTTGCTATTGCTAGCCTATCCGAAATTGCCTACCTTACCTTTAATCAATACAAAGCCATTGATGGGGTTGTGAAACCAAATCTCTTATCACACATGTACACAGCTTTGTAAATGCTCAGAGAGAAGGACTGTTTACTTGAGTCCAGCCACAAGCGGCAGCTGCCTTTTGTCGTGTGTATCCCTGATGAAATACTTCATTGTCTCTTATAAAACACATCTTTGTTTTGTAGCAATACTGGGTCACATGACACGAGTGGCCCTTCTACACACGTGATCTCTTCTATAAATGCTATTTTATCACTAAATTTACTAGTTCTAAAGCAAAGGGAAGTGGTACAGACTGTTCAATTCATCTGGTTTTTAAGTTTAAAATGATAAACCCTTGATATTTGCCACAAATGCAGTAATTTCTAGGGTAATTTATTGAGAAAAATGCTGGCAGTGGACATTGGTGCCATGTTTTGGTCTATCCCAAAGGCCAGCAAATGCTCAATGGGCTTGTGATCATGCCCAAGCCAGCATCGCCGCACTCTCTCAGTAGGAAAGAATCTAAAGTTAGAGCCACAGTACATTTCAATGGAGTAAATCTACATGAAAATAAACCCAACGTGAAGTATGTCGACCACAGACTCTCTTCAGACTGAAACTTGAAATGGACTGTCAAACACATACACAAACACAATATACAGAACATGATACAAAGGCTAGGAACAAAACAAAGAAACAAAACCGTTCAGTCTCGTGGAGGAACAGTTTGTGGGGGCTGTGATTGTCTCTGGTAGATAAGATGCACAGGGGGCAGCGAGACCACAGAGACCACAGAGACCACAGAGCTCCTTCCTCTGCCGCCGTCGAGCGGAAGCCAAATCATTAAAGCACTGGGCATGCCTAACCCTGTCACATTCCCTGAAGCTCAGCCTCAGACAACATGTTTTAAATGCCTGCACTTATGTAACGGTCGTTTATGCATTAATCCTCCTAGTCTAAAATATATTTTCATATCATTTAAATGAGCTTACATGATATAAGTAGCTCAACTAAAATGTATGAAACCTGTCAGATATTAAAGCAAGATGATGAAAAAAGCACAGGAAAAGAACTGCGGTGAGAAGATGTAGAATGAGAGACAGAGACAGAGGTAGGGCTGAGAGTGCAGAATAGGTATTGGACTGAAGCCACAGAGCTAAAGTAAATACGGTGTGGCATGCGTATGACCTACATAGAGCCCGGTGAAGGAGGTTAAAGCGTACATTGTGCCAGACCTGTTCATTAGCCTTTTATTTCCTCTCTGAGAAGAGTGCAAGGAAGCAGGCGCCAGGGAAAACTGAAAATGTGTGATTTGTTTTAACTCTTCGTCTCTCTCTGTTGCAGGAATATAACATGACCAGATTAAATGGATAAAACCAGTCACTCTTCAACACCCAGGATCATATGGTGAAAATGAAACGTCTCTTGTACAGTACAGTTAAAATAACCCAAAATCTAGATCACTGACTCTTCAAGATTAACCAAGATCTACTTCTCAGTCCACATCGGCCCTCTTTTCTCGTCACGCTTGCCCTTCTCTGGTCAGAGCCACCATGTACGGTAGTGCCCGATCCGTGGGTAAAGTGGAGGGCAACCACAGTGGCGGGAGCAATCAGAGTCCCGGTCGTTCGCCCCGTCTCCCGCGCTCGCCCCGTCTGGGCCACAGCCGCACCAACAGCACAGGGGGCAGCGGAGCCGGAATAGGAGGTCCAGGGGGTAAAACCCTTTCCATGGAGAACATCCAGTCCCTCAACGCTGCCTACGCCACATCTGGCCCCATGTACCTGAGCGACAATGAAGTGGTGGTATCCGGCCCGGACCTGCCGAAGAGCACCATGACGCTGGGCCGCTCGGGGGGCCGGGTGCCTTACTCCATCCGCACGACTATCATGGGATCCAGCCCGAATATCGCCACCGGTTCGCCCGGCTCCGCGTCCACCGATGCCATTGCTTTCGGAGACCACCATATGCCTTCAAACCTGGCGTCCACTGTGCCTCATTCTCTACGCCAGGCGCGGGACAATACCATCATGGACCTGCAGTCCCAGCTCAAGGAGGTGCTCAGGGAGAACGAGCTCCTGCGGAAGGAGGTCGATGTGAAGGAGAGCAAACTCAGCTCCTCCATGAACTCTATTAAGACCTTCTGGAGCCCCGAGCTGAAAAAGGAGCGGGCGCTGCGCAAGGACGAGGCCTCGAAGATCGGCGTGTGGAAAGAGCAGTACAGAGTCGTCCAGGATGAGAACCAGGTGAGAGAGATGAGCTGTTGTGTACTTTCTCCACGATTACGTGGAGAACTCATTTTAAGACAACATATTCACAATGCATTTAACTTCTGTGATGTGACATTTCAGAGTAAATCAGAGGATCTGGCAGGAAATCATTTAGCTTCAGATTTGATGTCTTTTATGCTCGCACCTTATTTAAAAAACAATATTGATAGGGATGGATTAATATAACAATTCTGGATGACAAGTCATAATTATTTTCATGTTTTGGCCTGAAAAACTTTACCAATAAAACACTAAAATTTAAATAAAGATTAAATTAATTAAACTTTTAAATTAATTAAGTTTAAATGAGCATCAGATGATGATTAGATGACAAATGTAATATAAATGTAAAAATAGGTGGAAATGAGCTTGAACAAATACAATTTACAACATCTGTCGACATGTATGCCGACATTTTATGCACAGAGATGCGCCGATACGTATAATTATTTATATTTGAAAGCCGATAACCGATATATTGGCCGATAAATCGAAATCCAATTTGTTTTATAATTTTTGATAGCCTGATTGCAAAAACGAAAGTCTCACCATTAAAAGCCATGTACCAAGCACACAATAATAATGTTAACAAACAAGAGAACATTATAATTCTGTGCTTGGGACATGGCTTTTAATGGTGAGACTTTCGTTTTTGCAATCAGGCTATCAAAAATTTAATCAATCAATCAATCAAATTGGATTTAATTGGAATGACAAAATAACCATCCCTCATAGGCTATTTACTTCTGAGTGAGTAGAGCGGGCTGTTATGAAGGGGCGGGACATTTCCCGAACATGCGATAAGTGGTGTCAATCAAAGCACACTAGCCCAGCTAACCAATCACAGCACATTTCGGAAGGAGGGGCTTCATCGAAACTGTGCGTTCACCCAAACTGGGGAGAGGGGACCTGTAATAATGTAAAAATACATGAAAAATTATGCGTTTTTTGAACAATCAAGCATGAAAACATATTCGAGTACACCCCAAAAACAAAATCAAGAGGACCCCTTTAAAATATTTCAAATAGTGAAGTTTTAATTTTCATTAAATAAATGCAGCTATGGTGAGCCTAAGGGACAAAACATAAAATCTTACCAACCATGTATTCCTAAATATATACAGTATATATATATATTTTTTTATCGTAGCATCTGAGTTAAAAATTTCTAGTTGTAGCTACATGTTGGTCAGTTATGTGTCTGAATATCGTCTCTTTTCTCTTCTGTAAGCTGGAATATGCAGGTCTTTTTAGAGCAGTTTGCAGTAGCCAAAGGGCTTCATCTGATGAAACACTATGATACAAAACAGTGCAACTGGCTCTGAGAAAAAAAAACCTATTACTTGCAGATTGGATCTGATTACTGAAGAACATTGTACATGGCATGTCTTTAGAAATAGCTCTATTTGTCTTTGTGTTTTTTTAAAATGGCTTGCTGAGAGCCTCTGAACATCTCAGATGAAGCTGATAATCAGAGCAGTTTGTTTAGTTCACACTGGAACGTGTTACGATATAAAACAAACACTAGATAAGTGGATCTTTTGCGTTTTTACATTAAAATGAACAACAGTTTAACAAAGTCTGATTCATCTGCAGATTCCTGCTCATTTCTCTTCTGCAGACTGTAGTTTAACACATGCCCATCCTGACATTTCCCGTTTTATTCTCCTTCCTCCATGCTGGATTTTAGCTCTGGTGTAAGCTGTAATTTAGCTATTTCCCATGTATTTTTAGGGCCTGCAGTCTACAGCATGTTGCAGACTACAGCTAGCACGTGGCATATATATTAACTGTTATCATTATACCACCACTTCAACTTCAACAGAAGATGTTTTATGTATTTAGTCTAGTCTACAGTATGTGAGTCTGGCATAGCCAGAGTTTTCACCATCGAGAACTGGAACCTTGAGGAAAGACCGTCTGTACATCGCAGTGCAGTGTGTATTTGTAGTTAACTTTGAACTCAGTTGGATTCCAGGGACCTTCAACACTCTTTCGGCACATGGCTCTGATCCTGCTTTGCTTTTGCCTGGGCTGAACCATGAGGCTAATGAGGGGCTCATAATCATTACCTTTGATGCCTTTCATTCAGGTCTCCTGTTTGAAGGCTCGGGTGATGTTCTTTGAGTAATCCAGTGCAGGGTTTAAAACATACGACACCCCACATGGTCTGCTTAGTACAGGGAACTGGTATATTTGACTGATGAAGTCATGAGGGGGTTTATCAAGATAAACTAGATCAATATTCAAAAGAACCTTGATCAGTTAAATGAACTCATCAAATTCTCTGGAGAGAGAGGCATTCAAAGAAGGGATGAAGGAGCAGGATAAAGTGGATTGAGAGTTGAATGCTCCCTTTGAGACCTGTTCAATTATGAGATGTGACACAGCAAACTATTCTAGTCAGCCAATTCTCATTCATTCACCTCCTCTGCTCATATCTCTCTCTTCATTCATTCAGCCCACATGCTAGTTCGCTGGATTCGTGAGCACACTCTTTCACTTTCCTTTAGGGATGCACTGATGATAATATTATGGATGAACTATAAAAGCAAAAATGATAAATATGCATTTTATATTATATGGGATAACTGAGGAATTGCTGATAGTTCAAAATATTTTTTCTTTTGTTTGAATAATTTGTCTAAAAATTAATCGTTTTTTTTTAATGTCTAAATAATTTTAAATGAATGAATTTAGGCAACCCAACATTGATATACAGTATGAGATTTGCTAAAGATTACATTTAAATGTGTTATTACTAGTGTTTTTAAAGATTAACTTTCGTTAGATAATGGCAAAGGTAATCTAAATGTAAAAATTGGCAATATGAATTAAATATGCACTATATTGTTACCGATATATTGTATATATAGTATACTGTGACAGTATTTTTTTTCTGTTATAAATACCTTTCTCACTCTTATTTTTGTCATATGCATAAATGTGGACATGTTGTTTTCAAGTCTATGGATTTAAAATGATCTTTAGTCTTTTTCTTCCAGTCTTTCTCGTGAACATCTGCTGTGACATTCCCAATATTAGCAAGCACGTTCATGCGAGCCTTTCAGACAGAGCGACTGAGCCAATCGGGTGTCCATCAAAGTGTGTTTTCTGTAAGCATGTGTGTCTGCCCTCTGAGGAAGCGAGAACAGATGGCAGACGCGGCTCCTGATGCGCTTACTGTAGTAGTGTTGTAAAAGGTCCAAAGATTCGCGCCCCAATCCCTCAATCTCCTTATCAAACAGTGTCACTTTTCACAGCCAAGTTCCGCCCACACCAATATTCACTGTTCCGGTCAGACTGTTTGTTCCTAATCCGAAATGTTTGAGTCACATACTCGGAGGAGAGCACAGCAGATAGTGTAGGGGTTTGTTTGCTGTGTCATGTCAGTAAATGTAACCTAGAAGGGTAGCAGATGGCCAAGGGTGGAGCTAGGAGCCGGCCAAACCTCAGGTCATCAAGCTCCACACTCTCAGATGGAAATAAACATCACATGCTGCGCTGAATGACTAGGAACCATGAAAATATCTCACATGATTTTCTTGTACAGTACTTCCTCTTGTCCTGATTATGGTGTGAGGTCTGTATTTACTCATTATGAAATAGATAATCAGCCCATTACTCATAACAGAATGACTGTGTCATACAACATGCTGTGTGTACACTGTAGGAGCAGGGCTGTAAACCCCATAGACTTGTCCCTCTCGATCAATATGGGGTTTTAAGCTAGCCTGGTTAAAACCAGACCATTCTCAGTTGTAACTGAGTTATGGTCTGGCAAAGCATCATAGACAAATCATTTCCAGAGGGGCGTCACCAACGGACGTCGCGGATAGACCTAAAACCAATCAGAGCGATGAAGGAGATGACGTATGCAGAGCGGCGGAGAAACATCTCCGAGTGTTGTTCTTTGCTCGGTTTTTAACTAAAAGGAAACGTTCAAATCGCTTAAAACAGACGCGATAGCTGATTCGAACGAGTGATGTTCGACGGCGGCATCCATCTTTGTAATGTAGGCTACAAAATCTGCTTCAAAATCCCAGCGCTGTCGTCATCGTGTAAAGCCCGCCCCAACGTTTCTGATTGGTGCCGCGATTTCGACGGATTGGAAATGGGCTTGAATGAGCTCTTTGCCAGACTAACTTTCAGAGCAAATCTAAATTTGCCGGAAGTTGTCTGTTTTTTTTTTCCCAGGCTAGTTTTTGGTCTTGGTCTTCTAAACCCACAACACGTGTAATTAATAGCCTTAACTTCTGCCCTGCCATTGACAATCCCGGCAATCTGCATTTTCAATGTTATGTGGTAGAGGGCGATATTAAGCATCTTTTGAAAGAGTACAGAACCACCAGATCCAAAAACAAGTGAAGAAGCAGCAGAAACAACAAGCAATAGAAGCATTGCTTAAGCACATGTAAGCTAACGTGTTCATCAGACATAAAACCGCATGTAAATCAAAACTGCTTAACATTACAGAATGAAATGTCAAATCCAGGCAGAGCAAAGGTATAGGACTGTGCAAGCTTTGGGGTGGTTGATGGACTCAACAGGTTTCACACCTGTATATAAACTTGCGATAAACACTGGTATTTGGGGGAATCGATTTTAAATTTGCGATCCCGCGTAGACTACTCTGTGTAGGGAGCGGCGGTACTGACCACAAATTTTACAAGATAAGATATTTGTCAATGATGGTTCTGATGTGCCTCAAATCCTCCGCCATCGTCCTGTCAACCATCTCTCCTCCCTCTCGTCATGTGATTAGTGAAATCTGACTCCCGCTGCACAGTCCTGCGACTCTGCAGCTCGTGCTGTATGAAGCAGAGCAGACTCTTTCAATAAGTAATTGTAGCATCCATTGTCCAACTGAACTAAATTGTTTTTATTTCTATAAAAAAAAAAAAAAACGACAGTGGGGCGGAGGGAAATTATATAATCGATGTACTGCCGGACACTGTGTAACACAATTCTGTACT